CAGGAAAATCACCAAAAGTCAACCGCCACTCCCACAACGCCAAAACGTAAATACGACCCCCCCTCCCAAAAATGATCAAATACGACCCCTCCTTTACAACGTCCATGAAGCGAGAAAAATCAACTATCAAAATAAATTTTTCTCAGCCCAAATACGACCCCCCCTCCTGGCGATCCCTACTGGGGATTCCCCAACAACGATGTGTCCTGGTTGTACGATGGTTTTCTACATATTGAAGGGACACAAGTTCCGTAGCGGCACTTTTCCCTACCGCCACAGAAAAGTGTGTGCCCTTAACACTGTGGAAAACATTGCCTCTATCATCCATACAAGACAGTTTCTGCCGTGGCACTTGATTTCAGTGAGAGTCTTCATGATGACCCCCTCCATCTGTTATACAGGGTCCGTGGTCGTGAGACTAGGTCTTCGAGTGCACTGCCATTATTCAGACGATCCTCTGGCCTTTTCTCTCCTGATCGAGCTGAGCCCCAGGCTCATCCTAGCATCCTTATTTGGAAGGGCCTTCCAAGCTTGTTAGAGCTTCGGAGATCTTAATGTGGAACATCATGAGATTCTTATGGCTCTACATTGCCCTAGAGCGCCTACGATCGTGATTGATCCCAAAGGGTTAGAACCCAACTCAGCTCTGTGAATCTGTGCTGCTGTGTTGAACTACCGCCTCCTCATATCCAACTCCTGGCACAAGCTTTGAATATAAGTGGGGCGGTTCAGTAGAGCGCAGCTATAAAAGGATGCTAAATGTCTTCGACACACTCTATTCTGTGCTATTACACTTTGACTCATACTAACTACTCTCCCCAAGACATAGAGCAATCCTTATCGTCAGTCTTCCAATGCGAGAAGAAAACAATTTTATTTTACATCTAGTTGTTGTGATTGGAATTAATATGGCCTTGCAATTGCAGGATTTGAACTCTCGTCTTGAACACTACATCAGTAGGGTGAAGGGCCTTGAGAGAGACAACCAGGAGCTGGTGAACAAACTACGCCATTTGCATGAGACTTGGGGACAACAGAACTCAGAGGGCAAGGTAAGCCAATGAATTCACTTGAAGCTCCTTTCCCTTTGGAATACTAGTTGAAAACAAATCAGGCCCGTTTCACAACATACCTCGCGCGTTAGGTTAACACGAGACCATTGGGCAACGGAGGAAAGGCATTTCGCACTTCGGTATTTCACATCAACGTGTCGACCCATCTAGACAGGTTCTTCTCGAGTTGACAGGTTTTACCATGATGGCTTGACGAGCTTGCTCCAGCTTCACAAGAGTTCACAGGTTTCACCAGAGTGAGACTTGTAAACCGGAACTAGTGAAGCAACGAAAGTGCAAAATGCCCCCCCCCGTCGCCGAACTGCGCTGATAACACTTCAGAAATTGGAAGAACTGAGAGAAATTTCAGGTGCATACTTTAATGTGAAGAGGGAAGAATGTGCTGAATTGAGTGTTTTCATAGAATCAGACCAACTTGAAGAGATTCTGATCCCAGGAATGGCTGGAAGTACATACAAGTACGGTAGCAGTAGGTAGTCTTCGCTACAATGAGTGACGCTTTCATTCAGGGACCAGTTGTGTGCTAGGCTTGATACCCCAGTAAGCTCAGCCTGAAACACTTTGTTCAAGTTCTCAACGCCCATG